ACAAGGTATGGTTTTATAATCCCAAGAAGACCAAAGGGAAGACTCCTAAGTTGTCTTCTCCATGGGAAGGCCCATATGACATAGTGGATCGTCTCTCAGACGTGACTTTCTGTGGTTGGCGAGGTAAACCAAAAGTGGTGCATGCCAACAGGCTTTGGCGTTATCACGGTCCAGGACATTTCAGTTGGGACGAAGTGGAAAATAGAACAAATGACGCTGCTGAAGACGTGCCACCTGAAGAAGCCACCATCGAAGAAGAAACTCTACTCAGTTTTGAGAAGGGAAATGGTGAAGCTCTTGGTGAAGTTACTACCACTGATGTGACTGTTACCGATGGTAGGACATTTACTGATGAAGCAGATGAACCCCACATGAAGCAGAAGCCAACGAGACGGAGATCAGTACGGAAGAAGATACGTCCCGTAAAATTAAGAGACTTTGTTGAATTGTAATTTTGTGTTTGTAATTCTGTACATTTTAATTAAGTTATTGTTAATTGTTATTGGTTTATTGTAAGTGGCTATTGTTCCGAGACGAACAATACTAAGGAGGGGGCAGTGTTGCGTCATCGAGGTCATGTGACTAGTGTGACGCCACCTGTTTTCTAGAAGTATCTTGTTCCTTCGTGAATGCCCTAGCATTTACTAGATATATGTTTTTCTGGTATATAAAAGAGGGTGACAACGTGACAGAACAATGTTTGTGTAGATAGTGAGTAATTGAACTGCAGTCACAGAGTATTGTTGAAGTTAACGTTCGTTCGTTGTAGTGTTTGTTTTAGCGCGAATATTGAAAATAAGTGTATCGTAAAGTTGTATTCGGAAAGAATAAACCAGTTTTATTAAGTAAGGACCTGTGTCGCTAAAGTTTCGTCGGAACGAAGTTACGGAAAGTTAATTAACAAACGGAGACGTAACAGTATAACAATATACTGTTCTCCAACCAAAACAATAGATATTAACTTACTAAATAACATAAATCAATATAATAATAACCTAATAATTATTGGAGGTCTTAATAGTAAGCAAAAAGATTCTGGATGTAAGGAAACCACAACAAATACAAGAACACTGTTTGAATTCCTAGAAAGTAGTGAACGTGTGCTGTTGAATGATAAAACTCCAACTCACCCAAGCTTTCTATACAATAGTAATGATATATTGGATTTGTGTATAAGCTCATCAAATACTAACAACAAATGTTCAAATTTTAACGTTGGATTTGATATTGATAGCGATCACTTCCCAATAAAATGTGTCTTTGATCTCGTATCCCATAATAATAAACCCATAAAAACAAATTTAATTGTAAAAAAAGCAAACTGGGAAGGATATGCAAACTTCTTAGATCAATTATTACTAGAATCAACAACAAATCCAGAAGAGAAACCATCTGATATTGATTATTACTGTCAAACAGTTACTAAGTGCCTTACCAAAGCTGCAGGACAGACAATACCCAAACAAAACCAATACACTACTCAAAATAAATGGAAACTTCACACCCAAGTTATAAACATGATAAAAGAACGTCGTATCGTGAGAAGACAATACATCAATACAAGCAATTTACACATCAAAACCCAAATAAACGCTCTAAGAAATGAAATAAAACAAGATAACTGGGATTATTTTTGTTCAAAACTGAATCAACACACAGACCCAAAAATTTTTGGTCACATCTGAAACGATTTCCAAATAACCAAAATAGGTATAAAACATATCCAACCTTACATTATGAAAACGAAATAGCCTACAAAAACGACCAAAAAGCTGAAGTTTTTAAAGAACAGTTGAGGAAAACCTTTAAAACGCATAATGAACCAGATACGAGCACACTATTTTAACGCAGTAAACGAATATATAGAACAAAATAAACAAATATACAAACCAAATTTCCCAGAAACTACAACAAATACACCAACAAAGAGGGAAACAAAAGTTCCCAATCCTCCTATTTAAATACATGACTATCATGTCTGAAACTTATCAAGATTAGGTTAAGTTTGATCAGATGTGAAAATAAACGTCTTTTTTTTTTCTCGCTGTTTAGCCCATGAACGTGCGTAACATATTCCAAGGGTAAGCTTAGCACAGATCAAGGTTGGTAAACCATGTTCGTCTAGAATATGCAAATAAGAGCAAAATTTTCTATGCTAATATTCTGAAAATCGTATCAGTAAAAATACGTGCATATTCTCTGTTGTAGGGTGGTTTAATTTATGGTATTTGCATACTACAGAGGTTGTAGT